TGGGGGCGGGGGGAGGGGGCGTTGCTGCTGACTGCCGACGACGCAGGCAGGGGTTCTGGGTGGGCGCACTGCACGGCATGTGGCGATGATGGCGGCGGATTTTCTTTCATGGAGAGTCGCGTCTTGGTGGTTTGGCAGCGCGTCCCTTGTCTGAGGACTTGCAGGGGTGTGCCGCCTAGAGTGGAGTCGATGGTGTGGGATGAAGGGCATTGGTGTTAATTGATCCACGTGACAGCGCGTCTCGAAGCGCGTTTCTCCCGTATGCCTCTATCCACAGCACCAGCCGCCCCTTCTACCTGCTCGCCGTTGGCCTCAAAATCACGGCTTGATGTGAGGGACTCATTTTTGCTTGGCACTATCGTCCTGTCGTTCGATTGGCCCTCAGCTGCTACCATGATGGAGGAGTACACGAAATACCTGGCGGACCGCCTCTTCACTGAGGATAAGATGGTCACCTATCGAACTCTCAGCCGTGCTCTCAAGGTCCACGTCAACACCGCCAAGGGGTGAGTGAGCTCTGTGTCTCGTGGAAAGCTTGCCACAAATTTCTGACAGTAGTAGAATGCTTTACGAATTTCACAAGTCGCAGAATGCGACGACGCCTGGCAAGGTCCATGCCACGTATCTGGTCTACGGCACCAAGTCAGCAGGTGTCCAGGAGGATGGCGACCACGAGATGACCAGCTCACCGCCAGAAATGGATGCCATGGGAGACGACGTTCCCACGCACACATTGACCCTGGTCCACGAGGACCGTCTCACTGGTGCGCCTCACTGCTCACGTTGCGCTGTTCTGCTGCTGACACGGCTCAGATGTCTTGGCCACGTACGAGGAAGTGACCTCTTTCCAGGTGTACAGCCTGGCCCCCTTCCCCAACAAGGTAAACAAGTCATTATGACGCTCAATTCACCATGTTCGATTGGCAGTTTCTGACCTATCCTAGGAATACCAGCTTCTGTCCGACGTGACGCGTGAGCTGTTGCAATACTCTTACGAGGACCCCGTCGCCATGGCCTCTACGTACGGCTCCGTCACGAATCCAAACATGAAGAGGCGCGAGCGCAAGAGCAGGCCGCAGGCCCAGCCGGCGCCAAAGCCCGCCGAGAAGAAAGCCCCAGCGGCGGCGGCGGCGCCCAGCCCGGCGCCCGAGGTCAAGGAGGAGACCAAGCCGGCGGCGGCCAGAGACATGTTTGCCAAAAAGGCGGGCGCAGGTGCCGCGGCGCCGGCCAAGGCTGCGCCTTCGCTTAAGCGCGGCGGCTCGTCGGGCATCATGTCTGCATTTTCCAAAAGCGGCGGCCAAGGCCTCGAAGGGAGGCTCCAAGCCGTCGTCCAACGCGTCCACGCCCAAACCGGTCGACTCGCCCGCGCTGTCGGATGACGGCGAAGACGACGAAGACCCGCTGCCTGCGCCGAAGAGGGCTGCTGCAGAAGGGGGCCGCAAATCTCGACAGGACCGCGAGGCGGCCCTCCGGCAGATGATGGAGGAGAGCGAGGACGAGCCAGAGGACGAGGAGGACAAGGATGAGGAGGAGGAGGAAGCGGCGGCAGACGAGCCGATGGAGGACGTGCACGAGCCAGCGCTCGACAGGAAGACTGACATCCCGGCCAGGCAATCTGAAGAGGTCGTGGCGAGCACAGGCGACGGGCGGCGTCGCGGCAAGCGGCGCGTCATGAAAAAGACACAGACGGTGGACAAGGAGGGTTATTTCGGTGAGTTCTCGCGTGCAGCCGGGGCATGGACCGATGCTGACCAAGACAGTCACGACGCAAGAAGAAGCCTGGGAGTCATTCTCGGAAGACGAGCCCGCGCCTCGAGCGCCTGCACTCGCCAAGGTGGCTGCGGCGCCGAGCTCTGGGACGCAGCCCAAGGCGAAGAAGGCAGCGCCCAAGGGCCAGGGCAACATTATGTCTTTCTTTTCAAAGAAGTGAAGGGTCAGCATTGTTGGCACCCGGAGCAGACACGTCGACACGACAAGATGGATTCCATGGCGCCCACGACGCGCAGCCGAGAGGGGGAACAAAGTTTGGCATGGCGGGCTGGACATGGTCGAATGCTACATGGACACTCGCTGTCTTTATTGCGCCCAATTTCTGCATCTCTCGTGCCGGAGCTGTTGACAGGCACGGGCGACAACGTGTCGATCAGGCGTGCTCAAAAAGGTTTGGACGAACGGAGGCTTCTTGGGAGAGCACCATGTTACATTCGAATAAGATCAAGCAATGAGCCACGGCAATTCCCGGCGGCAGGGTATGATTCGGTGCTCCCTGTGAAGTCTCGGCCCTGACCGCGAAATGATGTTGCCGCTTATATATCGGCCATGGCATTCACAGGACTGGACGGCTTTGGATTGATTCATGCAGAGATGAGATGCGGTGCCGATGAGATGGTGGACGTGCATGGTGGATGTACCGACCTTGGATGTATTCGTACAGATGGTGCAGATGGGCCTGTACTACATGTACCTGTCCTACATGTACATAGCACAAGTACGGTACCTTACCGCAGGTGCTCAACCACGACCGAGGCCCCTGTAAATCAGCCCCTAAACGTGCCAAGTAGCGCGTCCCCCAGACCCGCAGCGGGGTGTGTCCCTGTCACGCGTGCCCCGAGCCTACCCACTGTACCAACCTACATGCACGTGCACATTGCCTGGCATTGATCAGGTACATTTTTGGTAAATGTTTACATAGTACATGGATAAGCTTTCTGGATAGGGTAGTAGAGGTTTAAAGTTGGTGTGCTTTTTCTTTTTCTACATCCTATGTACTATGTACTATGTACATGTACTATGTACATGTACTATGTACGAACAGGTACCTAGGGACCTGGAAACCCGGTCAAGCTTTGGCGGCCCCACTGAACCCAAGGTAGGTACATGCCATGTATCCAGGCAAGCCAGGGAGGACAATGCATGCTGTGGACCATGTGCATGGTTCACCGTCGACGTAGCTTCTGTTCGGCCAACTACCTCGACACCAACAACATGCTTTCGACAACCGCGTCGGCTCATTTCCATGCCACCACGACAGCGACAGCGCACTGCTTTCGCACATACATAAACCCAACACTGGTCATTCATCATACCCGCCATCGTCTTCTCATGTTCTATTCACCACGCTCCTTTACTTGCCTTGGTCGCACCGTCTGATAGCAGCACAATGCTTCTCCCCAACTCCCTCGATACCCTCCTGCCCCTGGTCGGCCTCTGGGTCGCCCAGGCGTCCGCTGGGCTTGCATCCCCCACCGGTAAGTCGTCGCCAGGTCTCTTCGACCGGCAGATGGCCTGTCCCAACTATGCCCAATACTCTACCTTTGCCCAGTAAGTACTCTCTGCACACGCCGCGGCCACATGATCCTCCCACCTGGGACTGGACTCACAATGCGTCGCACAGTCGCCCCTTTAGCGAAGGCCCCCTCGCGCTGCCGTACCAGCGACCCGATGCTCGATGCCGGACCTTCCAGTCTGACGAGGTGGAGCGCGTGATCAAGGACGTCACCTCGCGCATGAAGGACCCTGATCTGGCCAGACTCTTCGAGAACGCATTCCCCTCGACCACCGACACGACCATCAAGTTCCACACAGACGGCACCGATGCTAGCGTCGTTAAGCACCCGGCACGGGGTCTTGATGGGGACGGGAAATGGCAGGGCCCTCAGTCCTTCATCGTGACGGGCGACATCACGGCCGAGTGGTTGCGCGACTCGGCGAACCAGCTGACGCCCTACCAGCCCCTCGCCAAAAAGGACCCCGCCATCTTCAACCTCATCCTGGGCGCCATCAACACGCAGGCCGAGTACGTCATCGAGTCGCCCTACTGCAACGCCTTCCAGCCGCCGCCCATCAGCAACCTGCCGCCGGCCGTCAACGGGGAGCAGGCCGATGTCGTCCACCCGCTCTACGAGGCCGCCTCGGTCTTTGAGTGCAAGTACGAGCTCGACTCTCTGGCGCACTTCCTCGCCCTGACCAACCGCTTCCACAACAACACGGGGTCGACCAAGTTCCTCACCGACAGGTGGTACACGGCCCTCGACACGATCCTCACCGTGCTGGAGCAGCAGTCGCGCTCGACCTTTGACCCCCAGACGGGCACCTTCGTGCGCAACGAGTACACCTTCCAGCGCAAGACGGACACGAGCACCGAGACGCTGAACAACAAGGGCGTCGGCAACCCGCTGAACTGGGACACGGGCCTCGTGCGGTCGGCCTTCCGCCCCAGCGACGACGCGACCATTCTCGGCTTCTTCATCCCCGCCAACGCCATGATGTCCGTCGAGCTCAACCGCACGGCCTCCATCCTGCACGCGTCCGGCAAGAAGGAACTCGGCGACACCCTGCAGGAGTGGAGCAAGAGGATCGCCGACGGCATCTGGAAACACGGCGTCGTCACCCACCGCAAGTACGGCTGCGTGTTCGCCTACGAGGTCGACGGCTACGGCTCGCAGATCATCATGGACGACGCCAACTACCCCTCGCTCCTGGCGCTGCCCCTCATGGGCTTCACCGAGACGACCAACCGCGTGTACAACAACACGAGGAGGATGCTGCTGGAGAAGGCGGGCAACCCCTACTACCTCAAGGGGCGCGTCTTCGAGGGCATCGGCGGACCCCACGTCGGCCTGTCCAACGCCTGGCCCATGAGCCTGATGATCCAGGCGCAGACGTCCGACGATGACGCCGAGATTACAAAGTCTCTGCAGCTCGTTCTGCAGTCGGCCTCGCTCGGCCTCGTGCACGAGAGCGTTGATGTCAACTTTATCACATCCTACACGCGTACGTTGACACCCTTTTTTTTTTTTGTTCTGACTTTTGTGTGGAGACTGACAAGCACTTCCAGGGAGCTGGTTTGCCTGGGCGAACGGCGTGTTTGCCGACACCATCCTCGACATTGCGAAGCGCAAGCCGCACCTCATCTTCAAGGATTCCACGTCTTACGAGATGTGAGATGTGGTCGCTCTGGTGTCGCTGCGCGGGGGACGGACGCTTTTCTCGTGGGATGGACGGTGCGGGGAGGCTGTCGGCGAAGTGATACCCTAACATTCAGCACTGATACTTTTTAATGATCAATTGGACATTCGCCTCGAGGTCAGTCTGGATTCGCCCTGCGCTATGGATGCAGCTCGCTTGAAGAGCACGTTTTGCACATGACTGCGTGGATGAGATGGAAGGCATGCCATTCGTGAGTTGGCTGATGCTGGCGGACCGCAAGCTGTGACCACCTGCTGCTATGATGCTGTCCAGTTTTCTTGTGAAGACTTGCGTGAGAATCAACACCGAGATCCTATGGATCCTTGAAAAGCCACGCCATGGAGCTTCTTAGGGGTTTGGTGCCACGGCACTCGCAACTAGGAGCATCAGAACGCCAATACCAGCAGACTTCAAGATCTCTCTTCAGCTCCCCTTAGGCTTACAACACAAGGCAGTATGCAGGCTGGCCATGTCTGAGGAAACATGGCTTATCATTTCTCAATGTACGTCGCATCAACCCTGCGTCCAGCCACAAACTTGCCCTGTTGCACATCCCTCACGGCATGGCTCAGCCTCCTGACCCCCTCGACAACGTCCTCAACCTCCTCCCACGAGAAGCAGATGCGGACCTCCCTCTCGAACCGAGCGCCATCTTCATCCCCCGCGACCTCAAACCTTTCCCCGGCACCAACAGTGACACCAAGCTCCCTGCCCCTGTCCGCGACGTCCGCCCCCCTGACGCCCTCAGGCAGAGTCAGCCACACAAAATACCCCCCATACACCTCGGCCCCGGCAAGGCTCGACCTCCTCACGGCAACGCCCAGCGGCACAAGGAGCGCCTCCACCGCCTCGAGCACCCGCCGATGCCGCTCCCGCAGCTGCGGGATCGACTCCTCGACGAGCCGCCGCTCGAGCTCGCCCGACCGCAGGAGCTCCCACACCATGACGGCCGCCAGCTGGCTCGGCGCGCCGCCGCTGCAGCTCGCCCCCGTCTGGCTCAGCCCGTACGCGAACGCCGGCGTGGCCGCCACCCAGCCCGTGCGCACGCCCGGCGCCACAATCTTGGAGAAGGACCCGTTCGAGACGGCGTGGCCGAAGGGGGCCTGGCCCGGGAGCGCGGCGTCGACGTCCGACAGGCGCGGCAGGCGCAGGAGCGGATCGCGCGGCGGGAACGGCGCGGGCGCAGAGGCGGTGCCATGCGGCGGCACCGGCAGGTGCCGTGTCCATCGGGGGACGACGTATAACAGCGGGATAAGGGGAACAAGATTGACGCCCACG